AGAGGCGAGATCACAACCAACACTTTAGAAATACAAACAATTATATGAACATAGTATGAGCAACTATATGCCAACAAATTAGGAAATCTGGAAGAAATGGATGTATTCCTAGAAACATATAAACAACCAGAACTTAAAGAGGAGGAAGAAGAAAACTTGAACAGACCCATAACCATCACGGAAATTGAAGCAGTAATCAAAAATCTCCCAAAAAACAAGAGTCCAGGGCTTGATGGCTTCCCAGGTGAATTCTACGAAACATTTAAAGAAGAATTAATACCTATTCTTCTGAACCTGTTTCAAAAAATAGAAATGGAAGGCAAATTTCCAAACTCTTTCGGCAAGACCAGCATTACTTTGATTCAAAACCAGACAAAGACCCCACCAAAAAGGAGAATTACAGACCAACATCCCCGATGAACATGGATGTAAAAATTCTCACCAAAATACTAGCCAATAGGATCCAACAGTACATTAAAAGGACCATTCACGACAACCAAGTGGGATTTATTCCTGGGCTGCAAGGGTGGTTCAAAATCTGCAAATCAATGTGATACACTATATTAATAAAAGAAAGGAAAAGAATCATATGATCCTCTCAATAAATGCAGAAAAAGCATTTGACAAAGTACAGCATCCTTTCTTGATTAAAACTCTTCAGAGTGTAGGGATAGAGGGAACATACCTAAAAGCCATCTACAAAAAGCCCACAGCAAATACCATTCTCAATGGGAAAAAACTGAGAGCTTTTCCCCTAAGGTCAGGAACATGGCAGGGATGTCCACTATCACCACTGTTGTTCAACACAGTACTAGAAGTCCTAGCCTCAGCAATCAGACAACAAAAAGAAATAAAAGGCATCCAAACTGGCAAAGAAGAAGTCAAACTCTCACTTTTCACAGATGACATGAAACTCTATGTGGAAAACCCAAAAGACTCCACCCCAAAACTGCCAGAACTCATACAGGAATTCAGTAAAGTGGCAGGATATAAAATCAATGCACAGAAATCAGGTGCTTTTCTATACACTAACAATTAGAAGAAAGAGAAATTAAGGAGTCGATCCCATTTACAACTACACCCAAAACCATAAGATACCTAGGAAAAACCTAACCAAAGAGGCAAAGGATCTGTACTCAGAAAACTATAGAACACTCATGAAAGAAACTGAGGAAGACACAAAGAAATGGAAAAACCTTCCATGCTCATGGATTGGAAGAACAAATATTGTGAAAATGTCTATGCAACCTAGAGCCATCTATATGTTCAGTGAGATCCCTATCAAAATACCATCAGTTCTTTTCACAGAGCTGTAACAAATAATCCTAAAATTTGTACGGAACCACAAAAGACCCCAAATAGCCAAAGGAATGTTGAAAAAGAAAACAAAACTGATGGCATCTCAATGCTGGACTTCAAGCTCTATTACAAAGCTGTAATCATCAAGACAGTATGGTAATGGCACAAAAACAGATACATAGATCAATGGAACAGAATAGAGAACCCAGAAATGAACCCTCAACTCTACGGTCAACTAATCTTCAACAAAGCAGGAAAAAATATCCAATCGGAAAAAGAGTCTCTTCAACAAATGGTGTTAGGAAAACTGGACAGGCACAAGCACAAGAATGAAACTGGACCATTTCTTTAAACCATACACAAAAATAGACTCAAAATGGATGAAAGACCTAACTGTGAGAAAGGAATCCATTAAAATCCTAGAGGAGAACATAGGCAGCATACCACCTCACACAAGTGGGAATGGCTAAAATGAACAACTCAGGAAACGACAGATGTTGGTAAGGATGTGGAGAAAAGGGAACCCTCTTACACAGTTGGTGGAAATGCAAGTGGAAAAGTAGCCACTTTGGAAAACAGTATGGAGTTTCCTCAAAAAGTTGAAAACAGAGATGCCCTACAATCCAGCAATGCCCTACTAGGAATTTACCCCAAAGATACAAATGTAGTGATTTGAAAGGCACCTGCACCCCAGTGTTTATAGCAGCAATGTCCACAATAGCCAAACTATAGAAAGTGCCCAGATGTCCATCGACAGATGAATGGATAAAGAAGATGTGGCACATGTATACAATGGAATACTACTTAGTCACTAAAAAACATGAAATCTTGCCATTTGCAACGATGTGGATGTAACTAGAGGGTATTATGCTAAGTGAAATAAGTCAATCATAGAAAGACAATTATCATATGATCTCACTCATATATGGAATTTAAGAAACAAAACAGAGGATCATAGGGGAAGGGAGGGAAAAATAAAACAAGACAAAATCAGAGAGGGAGACAAACCATAAAAGACTCTTAATCATAGGAAATAAACTGAGGGTTGCTGGAGGGGAGGGGTGTGGGGGGATGGGTAACTGGGAGATGGACATTAAGGAGGGCATGTGATATAATGAGCACTGGGTATTATATAAGACTGATGAATCACTGAACTCTAACTCTGAAACTAATAATACAGTATATGTTAATTAACTGAATTTAAATAGAAAAAGAAATATTTACAAGTGCATAAAAATATATGAAATGACTAGAGCAAATCTAGCAAAATGTATTCAATGAAACTAGAAAACATGGCTGGGAGAAATGAAAGAAGACATTCCTACCATGGATCAGGAAATTCAATACTATTAAGAAGTCAATTCTTCCAAATGAATTTATAGATTCAACACAATTCCAATCAAAAGTGTACATACTTAAGAAGCTAATTATAAACCACATAAGGAAAAGCAAAGGACCTACAATAGACAGAAATAAAGTAGGAGTGAATACCATGTGATTTCAAGCTTTATTAGAAAGGTACTGTAACCAGATACTTTAGAATTCTGTCAAATGAGATGTAATGGTCAGTGGAACAGACCAGAGTTCAGAAAAAGATCCACACATATATAACCAAATGATTTTTTATGAAGGTGCTAAGGTGAATCAATGAGAGAAAAATGGCTTCCAATGACTGTCAATTGAAAATTGAAAATCCATAAGCAAAACAAATAATCAAACAAAACCTACTCAAACCAAAACAAAATAACTAAATCTCTATCCTTGACTTTGTATCACATAAAAAAATTAACTCAAAATAGTTCTTGACTTACCTATATAACCTAAGGATATAGCACTTTTAGAAGAAAACACAGTAGAAGATCTTTGGGAACTTGGAATAAGCAAAAATTAATTAGGACTTAATAGCAGAAAACATGAAAGAAAAAATAAAAACTGGACTGTTCCAAAATTCAAGCCTTCTGTTCTTTTAAAGACAATGTCAAGAAAATAAAATGGAATATATAGACTTGAAAGAAATATTTGGAAAAGACCTATATGTTAGAGGACTTGTTTCTAAAATATATAAAGAGCTCTGGGGTGCCTGATTGGCTATCAGTTGAGCACCTGATTCTTGATTTCAGCTCAGGTCATGATTTCAGAGTCGTGGGATCAAGCTTCATGTTGGGCTCCATGCTCAGTGGGGAGTCTGCTTGAGATTCTCTCTCCCACTACTTTTGCCCCTTCCGCTACCCCCCCCACTCTCTTTCTTGCTAAAATAAATAAATCTTAAAAAAAAAACCTCTTATAATCCAATATAAATATGGCCTCCCCAGACTATATATATACATATATATATATAAAACAGATATATGATGTCTATTATGGATATAGACACATGAAAATATGCTATCATTAGACATTAGGAGAAGCCAAATTAAAATGACAATGAGATACCAGTACATACCCTGGAAAACAGCTAAAATTAAAAAGACTGACAATACCAAGTGCTGACAAAGATGCAGAACCACTGGAACACTCATACGTTGCTACTAGGAATGCAAAATGGTACAGTACTTGAAAAACAATTTGGCAGCTTTTTATAAAATTTAATCTGTGTCTCCAGTATGACCCAATAGTCCCATTCCCAGTTATTTACTCAAGGGAAATGAAAATCTGTCCATACAAAGACCTGTACATGAATGATTCTAATAGTTTTACTGATAACGGCCCAAATTGATAAGATCCCAAATGGCCATTAACTGGTGGAGGGAAAAAAGTTGTTATATATTCATACACTGGAACATTACTCAGATATAAAAATGGAGAAACTAATGACATATGCAAAACATGGATCAATATTCAAAAGCTTTATGGTAAATGAAAGAAGCCAGACACGCAAGAGTACATACCCTATGATTCTGTTTTTGCAACATTCAGGAAAATGTAAAACTACAGTTATAGAAAGTAGATCTGTGACTGCTGAGGTGCAGAGGGCAGGTGTATCAGGAAACTTTTTGGGCAAATGGAAATATTCTTTACCTTGATTGTACTGATGATTTACTCTATGTATTTGTCAAACCTCATCAAGCTAAGTATTTTAAAAGGACAAATTTCACTGAATGTGAATTATACCTCAATATACCTCACTTAAAAAATTATCTTATATAAAAAAATTTCAGAATTGGAAAGAAGTAACACTCATTAGCATGTCTAAGTTCTACCATGCTAGTAAAAACAAGAACGTGTGATGAATCTACTTTATATTCACACTGAGATTTAAAAACTCTAATACCTCTAATTTTCACTTTTACACAAACAGAATATGAACACATCTATCTCTGTAGGGAACTAGAAACATAATACCAATTAAAAAGAATTGACTTAAATAAAAAACATTATTTGTAGCAATTATGTAGCAAAAACCATGGAAAAATCTGATGACAAAGATGAATATATGTATGTCCTTTAAATGAGAACGTGTAAAGCATATTATATTCCCTCATCAAAGTGTACCCATATTTTGGAAAAGATCAATATATGGACAGATATAATGGTGTCCATTATACCGTTGTTTACTTTGAATATGTCTGAATTTTTCAATATCAAAGAATTAAATGGCAAAGACATGTTACAGTATGCAAACAAACTGCTTAAATAAAAGCATTAAAATACATCAAATAATTTGTATCAAGAGAAACATATGCTGTCCCAGCAATGAGTACCTTGGCAATAGCAGTTTGTTTAAACATGCGGGTAATCAACCCCATGACAGTCTCGGTGGCACCTGAATTTGGAGCTCTCATTAATTTTTCCCACGCTTCAAAGCTGGTATTCAATTCCTATGTGGGAGAAAATAACAATGCTTAGAAATATGACATAAAGAACAGAAGAACAGCTGGGTGGCTCAGATTAAACATCTGACTCTTGATTTCGGCTCAGGTCATGATCTCAGGGTTATGAGATACAGCTCCAAGTCAGGCTTGGCACTCAGTGGTAAGTCAGCTTGGGATTCTTTCCCTCTACTTTTACCTGCCCCTCTGCTCCTCCCCCACTTTGTGCTATCTCTCAACTAACTAAATAAATTAAATCTTAAAAAAAAAGAACAGAACAATTAATGCAATATTTTGTCCTACTTGTTTTCTTTTTTCTTTGTAAAAATATGAAAACAAATTCCCAAAGATACCAATGTGTTCACTTAAAAACATCAATATGGAGATAGGTCAGTCACATGTTCACACCAAAGACAGAAACCAATGAAAAGCTGTGGGTGAAAGCCAAGCCTTTTGCTAACGTCATAAATCAAACAATTAGAGCTTTCCCTTAAGAAAAAACATTTTGTAAAGTAAAAATAAAAACTTGCATACATAAGAAAGGAAACAGTGAAAATGTGTATGATAGCAAAGTACTTTCATAACAAGATATGATTTCATTTAAGTAAGCATGAGGAATATTTGCTAAATAAAAATATAATATAATCATATACTGACACTTTTATTTTTCTTTCTAATGCTAAAATGGTGGATAAAGAAAATCAGATTATTCCTATTTTACCAATAACATATTGCCAATGTTTATAAAATGTCTCCTCAATCTTTCAAGATAAAACAATGAAATAGTCTTTGTCAACAAAGTCCTGTCCAGATTTAAAGAAATTTCAGAGAAAATATAAGCACTGTACTCCCTAAAAGTATATGTAGATAAGGATTAGGTAAAATACAATTTGACTTTCTAATATATAAACCTTCACCTCTTCCAACATGATCATAGAGTTTTCAGATCTCAAGAAGAAGGCTATATCCAAGTTATTCTAGAAGATAGCTCATACTTGAAAAAAATCCTAGAGCAAGAAACACAACTTCGCATCCTAATTATTGGGCTTTACACCCTACAGATACTTAGAATTCTTAATACTAAATCTTCGTTGCAGTTGAAGTGCTTTTATTCTATATTGAGCAGAAGTTTTTTTTTTTAAATCAGTAGGATACTGAATCTTTTCACATTTGATGACTAAAGTTAAATTCTTCCTGTTCTCTTCTTGAAATGATACAAAGCCAATCCATATGTTCTATTAATTAATCCTATTTTAAGAAAACAGACTTTGCCTTCTATGAAAAATCAGTATGTGCAATCTTTCATTAAAATGACTTAAAGTAAGACTTTGAATCAAACAAGCATTCTCACCTTGGCAGCTGCTGATGGAAGATCAAAGGGAATACGCTGTCTGACTTTAGGGGGCAGTTGGGTTAAAACATCAGTCTTCAATCTTCTGATCATTATGTCACTTAATAGCTGATGAAGTTCATTCAAATTTGATGCCCCTCTACAATCCCACTGAGGCCTTTTACCAAAAAATCTGTTAATATGAAGAAAAACCATGTAGCAAAGCTGAATGTTAGGAATGAAAAAAATCCAGTGTTTTCCTTTTAATGATAAGGAGCCATCACACTGTTTTTACTGTTACTTCTGAATGCAAATCAGTTTCCAAAAACTCAGCCTGAGGAAGAGTAATGAGTAAGATTACAAATTACTCTCAGCCATAGAAAATGTTAATTGTCTAACATACTGTTTACAATGAGTTAATGCAAGGTTAGAATGAACTGGTAACTCTAAGTACCATTGGCATTTTGGGTGGTCTCAGAAATGGCAATGTGCTTAGCAGATCTAGCCCCAACTAGGCACTAACTGCCAGGACACCAGCTAGTCTACATAATAGCCAAACTACCTAAAATATTTGCCATATCCTCTAAGAGGAGCTATCTCCCACTGAGCTGTTAAGCATAGCAGATTCATCAGTTGGTGACCACTTGGCCTTTGAAAACACTGGACAGACAGTAAAGGAATTAAAAAAAAAAAAAAGGACAGAAACCCACTATGAAAGAGAGAATGGGAAAGAAAACATAGGATAAAAAAGTTCAACAAATGTTTAGAAGTCAATGCTGACAGATAAGTGATAGCTGACTTGGCAAAAGAAAAGAAGCCACAATGTAAAATGCTTGCAAAAGTGAGTATGTCCTCTAGACCTCTGAGAAGTTTGGGAGTTCGAAGCACCAAGCACTGATGGCAGGTATAAAGACAAGGGTTGGAACCTACTGGCCTACTAACATCCCCCTAACATTGTGACAACCCAAAAACTACTCACAAAATTCCCAGTCATCTTCTAGGGGCCCATACTATTGAAGCTAGCTGGTGGAGAATAATTAACAGGAAGACTCTTATTGGGTTGTAACATGATTACTGATATTAATAATTAAATGACTATCCATTTTAATGGGATTTGTGTGGTATCAGCATAATAGTGTCAATTTGAGAATTTGAAACTTGTTAACTAATTTTTTTAATTAAACATATTTTGATAACAAACACACAAGAATAGTACAGACAACATTAAAAACATGCACTTGGGGGCACCTGGGTGGCTCAGTCAGTTAATGGTCTGCTTTCAGCTCAGGCCATGATCCCAGGGTCCTGGGATTGACCCTCATATTGGGCTCCCTGCTCAGTGGGGAGTCTGCTTCTCTCTCTCTCTCTGCCTTTCCCCCTCCAGCTTGTGCTGTCAGTCTCAAATAAATAAATAAAATCTTAAAAAAAACAACAACATGCACTTGCATGTAGAATCAATTAGAAAAGTTGAGTGAACAGATCCAACTACTGTATGATAAAATGATAGACACTACTCAGTTGTGATCAAAAATAAATTCAATTCTTGTTTAAAAAAAAGCTAAGTGCTGGCATTGTAAAAAAAGATTTATTAGATTTATTTATATTTGCCATAAATTATATTACGGAGTTGACTTCCTTTAATGTTTTATGTCACCATATTAATATTAAAAATTCACACACTAATGAAAATGGAAAAATAACTTGCCAATACTCAATTATGTCACCATTTTGTCCATTCACAATCATATACTTAGGTTCATTTTGACCTTATGGTAAAAAAAAAAAATCTAATGTTCAGAACTACCAATGATGGGAAAAAGAGGTTGGATCTTTTGTTTTTTTGCGAATGAAATGTTTACAATTAAAATGAATTATTTAGCACACTCTCCAACTATGCAATACATTCTGCAGCAATACAACATGCTAGGTGCAAGCCTCTGGAACAATTGTTCTACACAGATGTCTTCAAACATGTCAACTACACAGGCCTCACTGGCCTCCTCCAGAGCACCAATATTTGTGCTCTGAAAGGGCATATCTGTTTAGAAGTCAGAGCAATCTAATTTCAGATGCCACTGTACTTGTAATAGACTTGTGACAAAAAGGTTATTTCACTCCTCCAGGAGAGGATGAACTACTGAGAGAAGCTTTTCTAGCCAGTTGCCTCCTGGGTGCTTTACCACTGATTGATTGCAAGTCCTATGCTTGGTATGAGCCATGGTTTAGAGAAATCCTTTCTCCCAACACCCTTCTCTTGAGGCTGGAGTCAGACTGCAGGTTGTAATGACTCTAAAGAATACGGGCAGGGGACACCTGGGTGGCTCAGTTGGTTGGGAGTCTGCCTTCAGCTCGGGTCATGATCCCAGAGTCCTGGGATCAAGTCCCGCATCAGGCCCCTTGCTCAGTGGGGAGCCTGCTTCTCCCTCTGACTGTCCCTTCCCCTGCTTGTGCTCTCTCTCTCTAACTGAGAAATAAAATCTTAAAAAAACTAAAAAAAAAAAAAAATACTGGCAGGACAATATGCTGTTGAATCTCCTGCTTCAAGTTTGGGGTGCAAAGGGGAAATGAGATGGGGAGGGTAGGCTAAAAGAAATGCCACCTATAAATGTCTGGTCCCTTCCTGATAAATTTGATGATAACTATATATACTTTTGGAGTAGTCTATTCTTTTATTTAAGCAGCTTTGTTGAGATGTAATTCATAAGCCATATAATTCACACACTTAAATTATACAATTCAATGGTTTCTCATATACTCTCAGATATGTGCAACCATCACCACAGTAAATGTTAGAACGTTTTCAACATCTCAAGAAGGAACCCCATAATCTTTAGCTATCACTCCCTTAATCACTGTCCTGCCTCCCAGCCCCAAGCTACCATTAATCTATTTTCTATCTCAAAAGATTTCCCTAAACTTTCATATACACAGACTCATATGATAGAGAGATAGTCTTTTGTGACTATCTCTTCTGATTTTTCTTCTTTCATAGTGTTTTCAAGGTTCATCCATGCTGCAGCATGTATTCATTCTTTTTTAAGGCCAAATAATAGTCCATTGTATGGAGAAACCACTATTATTTATTCATTTATCTGTTGACAGACATTTTTGGTTGTTTCCAACTTTTGGCTTTTACAAATAAACTGCTGAAAACATTCATGTACAAGTTCTTGTTTGGACATTTTTTTTTTCATTTCTCTTGGGTATATACTTAGGTGTTGAATAGCAGAGTCATATGGTAATACTATGTTTAATTATTTGAGCAAGTGCTAGATTGTTTTCCAAAGCAGCAGTACCAGTTTACATTCCCACCAGCACTGTTCAAGGATTCCAATTTTTCCAAAGCTTCACCAACACTTGTTATTTGACTTTTTGATTCCAGTCATACTGTTTGATTTGCATTTTCCTGATGTTCAATGATGACAAACATTTTTTTCATGTGCTTGTTGGCCATTTACGTATCATTTTTGGAGAAATGTCTATGCAAATCCTTTGCCCATTTTTGAATTGGGTCATTTGTCTTTTTACTATTGAATTGTATGAGTTCTTTTTTTTTATTATAAAGTTTAATTATGGTTCAGAAAAAATTGAGTGAATAACTTTCTCTGAAAAAATATACTGACTCTGTGTAGACTGCAGTTATTTTGGGAGGGGGCTAGTAAGTTAAATTGCCCTATTTTCTATTCTGAAAATCATAAAAAGTCCCATTTCCAGTCTGATTATAGAGATGCATGTGCCCAAAATGGCTGAGAATAAATACAACAAGAAAGGCAAAAGCTGCAAAACTAAAGGCATGTAACAGACTCTATGAAACCGTCTCAGAAATACACAAAGTGGCAACAAGGAAGGTCTGGCTGGAATTTGAAGTTCTTTTCAGTCATCTTTGTCTTTTGCTCCATGTTTAAGGATGCGCGTGAACTCAATATAATTGAAATTTCCCTTTTTGTCGAAAGGCGCTTCTCTGTACAGCTCATCCACTTCCTCGTCTGTAAACCAATCTCCCACGGCTGTCAGCAGCTCTCTCAGGTAATCTTCCTGGATGGTGCCAGTTGCTTCTTCATCAAAGCAAGCTAAAGCATTTCTGATGACATCTTCCAGATCTGTACCATTTAACTTTTCACCAAACATAGTGAGAAACATGATAAAATTTATGGGCCCGGGAGCCTCATTCATCATGGCATCCAGATACTCATCAGTTGGATTTTCCCCTAGGGAGGGGAAAGCATATCATGCAAATCTTCCTTGTCAATGAAACCATCTCTGTTCTGATCATTTTGAAGCCTTCTTTGAATTCCTGAATCTGTGACTGGCCAAACATGGCAAACATGTTGGGTGTTGCGCACTGGGGGCGCTTCTTGGTAGTCTTGGTCTTTGCCCTTTTGCTCGACATGGTGGCGTTTAAATCCCTGCACAGCTGGGAGAATCTGAGCACTTTGGTAACCCCCTCACTGCCCTGGCTGCTACTATCACACCCTTCTACTCCCAGAGCCCTCTAAAACCAATAGTTCCAGCCTGTGCTTAGCAAACCAACACCATTGTTGGAATTATATGAGTTCTTAACACATTCTAGACATGAGTCACTTATTAAACATATGCTTTCCCTATATTTTCTACCATTCTGTGGGTTGTCTTCATTTTCTTCATGGTGTCCTTTGAGGTACAAAAGTTATTAATCTTGATAAGGTTCAATTTGTCTAGTTGGTATTTTGTTGCTCATGGTTTCAAAGTCATATTTAAGAATCCCTTGCCAAAACCAAGGAATAAATTTACCCCTATGCTTTCTTCTAATAGTTTTATAGTTTCTGGTTTTACATTTAGGTCTTTGATCCATTTTGAGTTGATTTTTGTATATGGAATGAGTTCAAAGTCCAATTTCATTCTTTTGCATATGGCTATCCCAGCACCATTTATTGAAAAGACTATTCTTTTCCCCATTCAATGGTCTTAGTTTCTTGTTAAAAATCAATTAACTGTATACGTATGAGTTTATTTCTGGGCTATTGATTCTCTTGTTGATCTAGATATTTATCCTCGTAACAATGTCCTGATTACATTGTCATGATTATCCTTTAATCAGCAGAGATACTGATAGACTCTTGAGTCTATAGAAAAGTTTGAGGAGTATTGCCACCTTAACAGTTTTGGGTCTTTTTGATAGATGAACATGGGATGTTTTCACAGTAATTTAGATCT